CCTCAGTTAAATATTGTGTAGTAGTGATGTAAAATGACCACACCTTCCATGATATTTCTACTAGTCATAAAAGTGGATTGGGAAGGTCTTATAACCTTTTCGACCACTATAGCCACCCTTATTTGCCATGACCTTGGTGAAAATCTCAAAGCTTACATTGAGTAAACAAATGGGATGGAATTGTTAAATTTGTTTAGCTTCTTTTTGTTTTGGTACTAGTGTGATAATACCAAAATTGAGGTTGAAGAGTGGTAGAGTACCTTTGTGAAACTCGAAAAAAGGGCCACTAGGTCCCCTTTGATAAGTTCCAAGAAAGCTTGATAAAACTCCGTAGGGAAATCATCTGGTCCCATGGCCTTCTTCACCACATTGAGGATATCATTCTCTTCCCTGGAGATTTGAACAATATCCTCTCTATTTGATTCTATTATAGTGAAATTATTCCCCTCTGCGCCAAAGAGTCTTTTATAATAGTTAGTGATGTAACGTTTTAAGTTTTCATCACCTTCTATGTCCCCATTCTCTTGTTTAAGTTGGAAGATCCTTGTCTTCGTATGCTTCCCATTTGCGACCAGTTGGAAATATTTGGTATTACATCGCCTTGTAATAACTTAGTTGTCTGGGCTCTTCGATACCAATTTGTCTTCTCCTCTCGTAGCAGCTGAGCTAACCGTTCTTTTAAACAATGTTTGAAATCAATTTCTATAGTACTTAGTGGTTGACTCTCAGTTTTTTTATCTAACTCACATCCACCTTTTTTATTATCTGTTCCTTTTCTTTTTTTATACGTATCACTTGTATTTTGCGCCCAATCCCTAAGGAATTGTCTGTCTTTGAATTCTGAATTGCCATCTTCGTAGCGGTTTCCTAGCTACCTCGTTTCTCCTTATTCCACACCTTCGTCACCAACTCATGAAAACCGTCCCAAAGCAGCCACCCTAATTCAAACTTGAATAGCGGGGTGCTTAATGGTATGAGCCCCACTTCCAGAATTTAGAAGTAAAGGAGTATGGTCTGGTATTTCTCTATTCAAGGCTGGTGCATAGTTTGATAGACTAGTGGTGGATAATTTTGAGGGAATCAAATTGAAGTTTGAGATCTCATATCGAATTGCACTATCATTCCGAAGAGAAACTATATGTTTCGTGGGCTCATGTTTGCGATTGTGCTCGTAGACTTCCGAAAGCATCCAAGACCGCTGGATAATATGTGGGACACAGATATTGAAGAATTCATTATAATAGTATACTGCTCCGTCCCTAAACAAATCAATTCCTAAAATCCAGACAAGTCTAACTATCTTAAATTTGACTAACTTTATAAAAAGGGTAACAACATCTATAACATAAAATAAACATATTATAACAAATATATTCTATGGTACATCTGATACTAATTTGATGTCATAAATTTTGAAAGTTTTTTTTCTAGAAATTTAAACAAAGTTTAAAAATTTTGACTTAAAATAAGAACCTATTTATCTAAGAACAGAGAGAATAGATTGTTAAAAGGTTTTTGGACCAAAGAGTGCCCAAGTGCAGACCAAACACACGCATCTGACTCGTGGGCATGTGGCAGTGCTGAACTCCGCCCCTGCTTCCATTTCGCACGTGGATGCTCGAGCGGCCTACGCCACCATCCATCCGAACAAAAGTCAAATTCTAGTCTTCTTTTTTTAAGTCAGTTAATCAAGTTTGACAAATCTATACTAAAAGTACTAATATTTATAATACTGAATATATTTTTCATGATAAATCTATTTGGAAACATCAATGGTGACTCTGTTTTTCTATAAATTTTGTTAAGCTTTGGAAAACCTAAAATTACACTATTTGTTTGAGGGAAGGTGGACTGTCACTCTCCTTTGGTCAGGACTTGCTGACGTCACTGATTGTGCCGCAGTGCCTACACAGTGACAAGAAGTCATGAAGAAATACATCGACGATGACGGACTGGAACGGGCACGGGATGTTTGCTCACGATTTACTTGGGTCCTTGTCCTAGTAATAAACGGATTCTAGGTTGTTTCAACAATCAGAAAAAATGAAGTGGGACAGTCAAACAAAATACAGTAGCTGTTCATTGATTTGTTATGAAAAAAAAATATTATACTATAACTGATAAGTTCAAACGAACAGATCCAATGTCCGAAAACCTTGTGGTCTGAACGGTCGGACCGGATGCACGCGCCAAACAGTCCTCCCGCCCAATGTTTCCCACCGAAAAGGTTCGCTAGAGATCCATGTTTCCCGCCGAAAAGTTCGCTGGAGATCCAAGACCGACGCAACAGCCGATCCCGTGTCCGTGTACGTTAGTTTCTCTTCTATTTTTCTTTTCTTTTCCTTTTTCTTTTCTTTTTTTCTTATTTTATTTCTTTTTTCTTTCTATTTTTTCTTTTCATGCTTCATTTTCTATTTTTATTTCTTTTTTTTATGTGTTTATTATTATTATTTTAATTTTTATATTTTATGATTCTTTTATTTTTTATTTCTTTTTATTTTTTCTCTTTTCTAATAATTTTTTATGTTCGCGTGTTGTAGACAAAATGTTCTATTTTTATCTTTCATCTTTCCTTTTGATTTCTTTTTTATTTGTTTCTTTTATAATTATGTTTTCTTTGATTCATGTTTTTTTATATTTTAATCTTTCTTTATTTTTTTCTTTTCTTTTCTTTTTTTCTTTTCATGCATTATCCATTTTTTTATTTATTTTTATGTTTTATGTGTTTATTTTTATTTTCAATTTTTATATTTTTACCTTTCTTTTATTTCTTTTTTATTTTCTTTTTTTTTTCTTATTAATTTTTATGATGTTCTATGTTATTTTTGTGATGTTCTTGTGTATACATGTGATGTTCTATGTTTTTTTATGTTCACGTGCTATATATGTGATGTTTTGTGATGTTTTTTTATGTTCATGTGGTATGCATGTGATATTCTATAATATTTTTTTATGTCCATATAGTATACATTTGATGTTCTCGTAGTATATAGGTGTTGTTCTATGATGTTTGATGTTCTCGTAGTATACAAACGATGTTCTATGATGTTTTTTGTGATGCTCATGCAATATACATGTGATGCTCTATGATTTTTTTTATGTTCTATGATGTTTTTTTATGTATAATGATTTTTGTGATGTTCGTGTAGTATATAATGATGTTCTATGATGTATTATGTGATGTTCATGTATTATGCATGTGATGTTCTATGATTTTTTTTATGTTCACGTGTTATATATGTGATGTTCTATGATGTTTTTGTTTATGTTCACGTACATGCGATGTTCTATGATTTTTTTGTGATGTTCGCTTAGTATACATGTGATGTTCTCATAGTATATAGGTGGTGTTGTATGATGTTTGATGTTCTCGTAGTATACAGACGATGTTTTATGATGTTTTTTTTTATGTTCACGCAGTATACATGTGATCTTCTATGGTATATTTAGTGATGTTCATGTAATATATACGTAATGTTCTATAATATTTTTAGTGGTGTTCTATGATGTATTTAATGATGTTCACTCAGTATACATGTGATGTTTTATATTGTATTTTAGGATGTCTAAAAAATATCTATACGATGTTCTTTTAAATTTTTCTTCATTACGTGTTTTTTCTGCCTGACTTTATACAGCCAGTTGAAAAGATTGAAGATGCCAGGACAGGAGCAGGGGAGGTAGTACTCCTCTCCTCTAGAAGTTCTCCTTGTCATTTCCATTTCCTCTTCTCTCTTATCTATGTGCTCGTTGGTCGTTGGTGCGACTTCAAGTCTGCCAAGCACCAGTAGGGTCTTGCTTTAGTCAAAACTCAAACATAGATAGGGGCGACTTCGCGAGGCAATGATGGCGTAGACTTGCTCTGTTACGCTGTAGTAGTACGTGTCGTCGTTACCGGATCTGGAGAAGCGACGATTCTAGTGCAGCAGCAGCTGCTGCTGCTTCCAGTTTTCCAGTCCAGTTTGATCTCCTTACATTTTGCTCAGATTTTATTATTTTTATTTATGTTATGTATGTATTTATTTATTTATTTTTATGTATATTATAATATCAATTTCACGAATCTAAAATTAGAATACTGATCTTCTAAACCGAGAATGTTTTCTTACAGAGATGGAACATTGTTCTCTGAAACTAGAACATCGTCTCTGCTCAATACAAAAATGTTCTATCTTCATAAGATAAATGTTCGTTATTAAAATTTTATCTAAATATATCTATGTGGGATCTTGTTTTGAAGATTTTATTGCAACAAATCTGATGTTGTAATCGGAATTTAATTTGGATGTTTAGTTAGGAGTTATAACTTTTTTTTATTTCATTGAAAGTCACTGCATGCTTACCATCCGACGGCGGGATGTTCAACAATCAGAGAAAATGAAGTGAGACAGTCAAACAAACAAAATACAGTAGCTGTCGCTACCATCTTGTGGAGGCTGTGCCTCTGAAAGTTATCTCGGCCTGACTCTATATAGACGGGGGCACGGGGCCAGCACTTCCACAAGAATTAACCCGACGGAAACACATCAAAAGAAGGTGGAATTTTGTTCAGACCTTGCGACACCAGCAATGGCCGGAGGAGGCGACCTGAAGCTGCTGGGCATGTGGGCGAGCCCGTTCGTCCTCCGGGTGAAGCTCGCGCTCAGCTTCAAGGGCCTGAGCTACGAGTATGTAGAGGAGGACATCGTCCGCGGCAAGAGCGAGCTGCTCCTCAAGTCCAACCCGGTGCACAACAAGGTACCCGTGCTCATCCACAACGGGAAGCCCGTCTGCGAATCGCTGATCATCCTGCAATACATCGACGAGGCCTTTGCCGGCACTGGCCCGTCCCTCCTCCCTTCTGACCCCTACGAACGCGCCGTTGCTCGCTTCTGGGCCGCCTACATCGATGACAAGGTATGAAAAGAAAACCCCGTCTTCCAATCGATCGCATCAATTGACTGCGACATTGCCTGTTTCGTTGATAGATGGGGCATGCCATGCGTGATGTTGTCTTGCAGATTCTGGCCGCTTGGACGCAGGGGTCGAGGGGCAAGACGGAGGAGGACAAGGCTGAGGGGAAAAAACAGTGGTCCGTCGCGGTTGAGACGCTAGAGGGAGCGCTGAGGGACTGCGGCAAAGGGAAGCCCTTCTTCGGCGGCGACAGCGTCGGGTACGTGGACGTCGTGCTCGGCGGCCTACTTGGGTGGGTGCACGCAAACGAGGAGGCGTTCGGCATCAGGTCCTTGGATCCCCAACGGACTCCGCTCCTGGTGGCGTGGTCGGAGCGCTTCGGCGCACTGGAAACCGTCGAGCCTCTGATGCCCGACGTGAGCAGGCTGGTCGACTTGGGCAAGATGGTGCTGGCCCGTGAAGCGGCTGCGGCGGCTGGTGCAAGCAACTGAAAGTGCTTGTTCTATCGATCCAGATTTCCCATGTGTTTCAGCCTTTCAGGCGTTCAGCTAGTGTTGAAATTTGTGCGGGGGAAGTTTGCAATTCGGATTTTGCCGTTTGACCTGTAACTTCGGAAAATATCCGTTTGGTTTAGTAATTATTCATTGAATAAGGAATTGTATTTTTTTTTAAATTATACAACACCCACAATGCACGCACACTCATCCGTATGAACACATGTACAAAAACACTACCTCTATGAGCACCTTCGAAGGACTGCCGACAGATCTCGAGATTCACGAAGTCACCACATGCGCCTGCTGTCGATGGGGACATCGCCTACCACTGAAAGTATAGCGCCGTTAAATCCTAGAATAAATTCAGTAAAATATGAACATCCGTGCCAAATCAATGACTTAACCCAGATGGGTAGGTTCCACAAAAAATGACCCGACCAACTGATCTATGATCAGTTCGCAAATAAGGAATTGTATTTAACTAGCAAGACATGCGCATGGGTTGCAATGGAAGAAAAATACTATCAAAAGATACGTGTATTGATATATTTTTATATTATAAATTTATAATTTATTTTATGTAAATTAATATTGGTAATAATATGACAATGCTCCATTAAATCCATATCAAATTAAAATGGGAAAATTGGATTTGTACCATGAAAGAACCGGAGTTTAGAAAAATAGCATCCAAAGATTCAGCTTGAGCAATTTAGCATCAAAATATTGCTCTGATGTTGCCTTCTACCATTTCCGTTAAATTGACGTTAATTGGAATGCTGCGCTGCACTGTGACCACCACCGCCCCAATAATGGTGCTGCGAATGACATACGTTCCCATGAACCCCAAGGGGGCCTTCGCCTGTGTCTAGTCCTCGTCATCTAGGTCCATCACGGCATAGAGCTTTCCTGCTCTGCGTCTCCGCTAAGATTTCCTCAGGGGGCTGCTCCTTCGACTTCAACGGGTAGCCGATGGATGCTCCATAGCCGCCGGCCATGGAGCAAGAGCTGCGTGGATAAGGAGTGGCGCGGCGTGTAGCACGGGGAAGAGGAGATGACAATAAGCACCCATGCAGCCGTAACAGTCCTCCTCCGCCACCTTGGCCTGCGCATCTTCAGCCTGGTTTCCTCTCCGGCTACTGGGACGCTGAGAAGTAAAGGGTAGAGGAGGTGCACGCACCATGTACGAGAGGTTCGAGAAGCTAGTGTCCCAGGCGAGGAGCCTGCCAATGGTCCTCGCACACCCTTATGCTGCTGCGTGCGTGTAGTCACTTCCTCCTCCCTTTTGCTGCGTGTGTGTTCTGTTATTGCGAGTTGGGTGGTGAATGTGTTAGCGGGGAGTTAACAAAACTATAATGGAGGCATCTTTAAATGCTATGTTTCTAAAGCTTAATCTTTAAATGGTATTTTTCTAAAGTTTGCATCTTTTAGTGGTACAACCCCAATTTTCCCTTAAAAAATATTTTTGACAGATTGTTTCTCTGTTATGAAGTACATAAATATTTACTCGCTAATATAACATAACTTTAGTTTCCTTACTATCAATGTGTCAGTAGAGTTAAATATCAAGTTTCACGATTTTCTTTAAGGACCCATGAAAATATCTATACCTAATACTTGTTTATTAGAGAAAGATCAAGGTTCAAAGAGTCATAAATATTATATTTATAGCAATCGAGTTTGATCCTTGCAACGGAACTTACGGTTTATGGTGCAGTCAACGACTTGCGGCTCTGTGATTTATTTAAGGATTGCGCCATCTATCCCAATGCATGTTGGTGTCGGACGCCATAGCATTGTTGGACGCATCTTGTAGTCAGACACTATATCATCATGGATGCGTGTTGTTCTAACTTACGTGAGCATGGCTCGTGAGTACAAGTCACATACGGGACAGAAATTCCATATCGGTGCTGGACAGTTGTTGTTCTAACTCATATGGGCATGAGTTCAAATCACGGATGGGACAAAGAGAAGCGCAAGGGTATTGTAAGAAGTAAAAAAAAGGCAGTTGGAAGAATCCTTTGCTCTCTAATATCAAGTATGTAGATGTAGAATATAGATATAAATTAGACCGGACAACGAACTGCGGACAACGAACTGCTCAAGATTTCAGTTTACAGCTTCATTAGTACCATTGATTGATCTAAGTTGTGATAAAATTAAGTTTTATTTCTAATCAAAACTATATCAAGAATCTAGTGGTGAGAATATTTGTTTATTAAAGATAGAGAAGGGTTAATAAGGATTCAAAGACTGATAATATTATATTATATTATTGGAGATGATGCAGTAAAAATGTATTGAAAAATTTAACAAAAAGGACACGAAAGAGACTCAAGATATTCCTCCAAAAGATAAGAAAAAAAAAGAATGAGAAAACAAAAATTAAAAAAAAAAAAAACAGAATGGGAACTGGAAACAAACGCCGAACAGAAAGAAACAGAACAAACGCGGAAAACAAACCTGAATGGGTACGTGGTGAAACGATGAACAGAAAAGGTAATCCCAGCCGAAATAGAAAAGAAAAAACAGCTCCGAACAGACACGGGAAAAACAGGCGCACAAAAAATAATCATAGGTTACCGAGCGGTGGAAAGTTGGACGAAAAAATTTGGAAATGTCTAAACAACAACAGTTTGTTTTAGCCCCTCCCATCAACCAAATTTTTCTCATACACTTACACTGTCTTATAACTATATTTACACTGCATTATTACTATATTTACAATGATTTCTTCCGTGTAATTTATTGGAAAGAGTGATGTAATTTGAGAATAACACAAATATATGCTAAATTTTTCAAAAAGATTTATAAATTATTTCTCTGAATTCCAGACATCAGAGAAATATATATCAAATTATTCACAAATTCTTCAGAAATAAAAAAAAACAAAATCCACACAAGGAGGTGAGAGAGGAGAGATTATCGCAGGGTGTTCCGTACTCGCGTTCGTGTGTGTCAGGCAGGGACACAGGCACCAGCATGATTGCTTGCTTGACGCTGAAGCCGAGCGGATACATGCACAGGGACGCATCGCACGCACGCGCCAGCATGATCGCAGGCGGGGGGAGGCCGACGCTTCCGCATCGCACGGCCCAAAAAACGGTTGATAACAACCGGCAAATCAACCGGTTGATCATTAGCCTTTCTGAAAAATTTTAGTGGCAGAAATTTTGCCTCGATAATAGAATAATAGATAATAGATAGATATAGATATAGATTTGAAAGCTGAACTCGTCATACTGATAGCTGCAAAAATGAAAACGTAGGAATTCTTAGGCTCTTCCAATCGTTTTCGAGATCAAATTCCAACAACATAAAAATATCTCCAATACTACTATCTAAAACATGGTTCCTATTTTTCTGTTTGAGTAGCCACCTACTTTCAAAGGGCTTGTTTTCACATGACTATCAAATTTATCTTAATAGACACTATCATGTGGGACCCACTTTCCATTCTCCAATTATTCTTCCTCGCTCTATCAACTAAGCTATGCGTGTCATGCATGAAGGGAGACCACAATGAAAGGGCCGACAGGGAGGGAGCTCTAGTGAGTGTTGAGGAGGAGCCGGCGAGGGCCGGTCGCATCTAGGCTCGCTGGACATGGAGGCACCAGTGGTGGAGAAGGGGCCACTGGCGGTTAGCGGTCCCGCAGAGGGAGGTGTCTCACGGGGTGGAGAAGTGCCAGCGGCGGCTGTGGAGGCACGGCCAGGCCGGCGCACCTAGATCCAGCTGCGGGGATGGGTTTGATGACGGTGTGGGAGGTGTGCGGTGGCGGCAGACATTGCGGCAGCAGGGGAGGTAGCAACGCAGGCATTCACGAATGGGCAGAAACCGTCGATCTAATTTTTAGGTGCCTATCTGTTACATAGATGGTCTATTGGTTAGTGCTGCTGGAGATGCTCTAATCCTGTTTTTCCTTCCTATACATTCAGAGAGTCGACCGGGGTCATTCGGACTATCGCTTCCTTTTTGGGGACTTAGCATACTCCCCAATGCTAGGCTCTCGTCACAAAGCAATATGAAATCCCAATAGATCTAGGCTAAAGTAGCTAGCTAGTCCATATACATATTAGGTCTTATTCTAACTGATCATCACCATCACCTATGTCATCTGTAGTCTTGAAGTTGATATATCCTGAGATAACAGGTAGCAATGAACATAAATGCCTACTATTTTCTTTGTGCTAGATAGTTAGTTTTGGTGTTGCTGGCTGAACCAGAAGGGTCAGTTAAGCATAGTTGACAGAAAACACACCTTTTGGCTCTAAACCCATGGAGACATGACAAGGCTTCTACATTCTTTCCTATACTCACTAACAATTATCCAAGTAGTAGAGAATGCAGCTTCTGATGATATAGTTGAAGCCGCTACAGGAAGTACATCTATTGCCATGCGTGAAATTGTAGGGTATTTGGTAGAATGCATCATCCGCCATTACAAAACATCGAAGCTCTTTTACCGAGGGAAAATATCATTTTGTCTTGGCTGAGAATTTTTCAAAGCTCTTTGATAATACACATCAAGATCATTTTTCAATTTCCTCCTTTTTTGTTGTGTAAGGTGTTGTTCCCTTTTTGTCTAGTCATCTTTGTCATAAGCAATCTCATTAGTTCGCCTTGACTGAGAATTGTTGTTTACATCAGGCAGCATTGGTGAATATGTAGAGAACAAATCCTTCATTGTTGTCTTCACTTTTTCAATACATATGAGACCTTTATCAACAAAACCAACATCCAATAGAAACACTACAAAATTGAACTTGAACCTAAGATCTATTACAATTGGAACACAAATTTGCAGCAAAGATAGGTTCCATTACTTCTGAAACTTCTCTTTCATCTTAACCAGCATAGCTACAATAGAAGGACCTTTATATGAAACCTCCTTTACTATCCTTTCTTTGACCTTCTAGAGGACATGGAATAGAGGTTTGATGTTGGGAACAATGAACCTGAAACTGCATTTGTGTCAGCATAGAAAATCATG